CTCAGTAATCCCCTGATGATGCTTCTTCGACTGGTAATTGTGACCTCTACTTGACACTAGATAGTCACTGGTCCAGGGGCAGTTGTAGAGCAAAAGTAATTAAGAAACGGATGTGTATTGTTCACTGTTGATGGCTCCTTCATGCAACACGATTTATAAAATGTGATCAGTGGACCTGTCCCATTTTAGACGAGAAGAAAGAATAAACTTTCTGTTGTCAACCAGTTATTTAAAAAATTGGCGGGAAGATTCAGATCACATTATTTACTTAATTACTCGACTCCTTCAGTCCTTGCGGGCTTTGCCATCATCTTAACAGAGTGACCACCGATCTGGGTCATTTCAATTCTTCTCTTAATTGCACTTTCAAGGATAACTCCATTTGAATAGGCTGTGGCTCCAACTTGGGTTTATATCGTCTGTTTTGACATTCGTCACCTCTAAATGATTACTGAAGAGTTGGGACAAATTGTGCTTCCTTCTTTTCTTTTCTGCTAGCATCCTGATAATCCTTTCACACATTTGTAGCAATTTAGCACCCAGGGCCATGAATTTTATTATTTTCCTAGAGAAATTAAAGCCATGATCTTCAAGGTCAACACGGCTAAGCAACATTTCTAGTTTATCCAAGCAAGAATAAGTAATTTTAAAAAAAACACCATAAAAATAATGTTAACAAAATATTCAAAACTTTTTCAACGGCAGTCAGAAAGACCACTTTCTCCTTCCCTATTCTTCTTCCTTAAAGAGCATCTCTCATTGCTGCAATCAAGTTGCCTTGGCCAGGTGGTTTTAGTGGAATAATAAGATTTTTATTTGTACCCAAAATAAGCAAGACGGAACCACTGACGAGGCTTATAACATGGTAAGGAACCACCTTACCTGGACCATATTCGTACAGCTCCTCCTGGTAGTCCTCCTGAAAGTAGTGGCAGAAGATTCGAATTTGTTCGGCTCTCTGGAGAGCAAAAGAAGTAAAATGGGGGAAATGTCAATGCTGTCCTCAAAATCGTTTCAGATCGTTCACTGTCACAGTCACAGGCCAAAACCTACCATTGTAGGTCATAAAAGTTGTGTGCTTTTTCAAAAAATTAAAGTCACAAATTTTACCTCACACCAGCAAATTCTTTTATATTTTATTCATTTTAACCTTACCAGCCCTTCTACAACACAATTTTTGTAACTACTTAGCCTAAGCCAATAGAATGTACGTGTCACATATTTGTGCCGCTTGTATGTCCAGCACATTTCTTTCAGTGATAAATACCACCTTTCCTGGGTGGTAGGCGACGCATAAAGATTTGCAAAGCGGATACTTAAGAAATGAAAGTGAGCTGGAAATAAAGGCAACGAGAACTCGATTTCTTGCCTCCGTGCTGAAAAAGAAGATATCTTAATGAAGCAGTACCTCATTCGCGATAGGGGAATCTTAAATAATCCTTTTGGGCTGTTATTTATTCTTTATTATAAAAAACTAGACAATCCTATTTAGTTTAATTTCGAAATCATTTTACAGTTGGAGGCATTAAGAGCATAAGCTTTACACTTTCTGTCGTATAAGGTTCATAATTTAAATTCCCTTGCTGAAAAAAGAAGTGATTAGTATATGCGAATACGTAGAGTCATAAAAAGGAATAAAAAAGGTCAGTCACCCCATGAGGACTTTTTAAATTGCATCTTTGTGCAGTAGAAAAAGAGTAGCACTTGAAATCCCCTCCACCGCGAAGCCCTGTTTGAGCTCGAACAGTGTGGGGTCAACAAATACCCAAAACTATGCGTGAGAGGGGTCCCACAGAATTCATCACTGACATTAGGACCAAATATCCTCCCACCATGATAAAATATCAACGAATGAAGGGGATTTCGTAGAGTACCGACCACGTGGAGGTGATCAAAAACGGAAGAGACGCTCAGATATGGCCATTCAACAATTTCAATGGATCCCCACTCGAAACTGGAATTACGTTGCATCCTAAAAACTTACCTCACGAATATTCCAATACCCCAATTTCGGATTTTTCCACACAGAAGCTGTGGATAACACCAGCGGTGCAGATTCCATTTCCTCAACGGTAGTCGCCTTCGGCTGTATTGGTGGTGACGGCGGTGTTGACATCGACGGTGACGGCAAGAGTGTTAAAGATGGTGTCGGGAGTGATGAAGGAGGAGTAGATATCGGTGGTTTCAAGGGAGGTTCAATAAAGTTGTCAACATGCTGCAGTTCCGGAACTGTCGGTGGTGATGATGACGCCGATAGTGATTGCGGTGGTGACGTCGGTGATGACGTAGGCAGTGGCGTAGGTGGTGACATCAGTAATAGTGAAGACGACGTATGAGGTGACAAAGGTGAGGGAGACATTGTCGGTTTCAGGAGCATCAATGGCGGACCAACAAAATCGTCAATGTACTCCAGCTCCGGTACTGTGGGTTCCATTTCAAACACCGCGTCATTCTCGTTCGGCGCCTTAGCTTCAGCCTTCCTTAAATCATACTCCTCATGGCAACAACAATAACAGCCACAACAGCTTTTGCAGAAGGACATGCTCACATTGTCGATGGTGCTGGTAAATCCGCACTTTTAAATTATCTTGCCTCTCTCCTGCAACGTGTTAATCCCGGCTCTTGCATCGTGGACCATGCGGTATAAGCTGGTTGGTCATTGCCTAGTGCTTTGGTACTTTTAAAGGTTGGTCCTTTTTATCGGTAACCCCAGCTTAGGTAGAAATAAATAAAATCACATAAAGTCGACTTGAGTGTTGGCAGGCTTGATGTCAGGAATCCAGAGGGAAAGCGCTCAACACAGGCCAGATTCCACATTCTTCCAAGTACAAAGCTGACCGATTTCAACTGCCCCACCTACTTCCTTGCTTTTAACTTCATCCAGTCTGCATATTACATGAATGTGTGTAACCAGATGTCGCTGGTCTCAGGCAGGAACACTGACGCGTCACTTTTTGTAGACTTCTGCCATTCCCAAACTTCCGGCTACAAGCAGCCCGTCGATCTCCAGAAAAAGAAGTGTAGGCTGACAAGAACAACTACCCTGATTCCTATCACTGACAACTTAAGATCTTTGGGATTGGTAAGAGATGGGTTTTATGTTTAAATTAATACTATCTATTTAAACTTCACGGATCACCTACTGTGACTTTCAATCACAGCATAGTTCAAGGTTGCATTGCCCTGTGAATGCGATTGGACTGTTTAACAGCAAAAATGTTTTTGAGAAATTTTATGTTAATCTACATGGACTCCTAAATTACCAGTCCAATGACCTTGAATCCTTCCTAAGGTCATAGTAAATTATACCGATAAAACTAGCAGCTCAACATGGTATATCGCCGATGGACATACCACTGTGCACCTTTCAGATACCACCTCCACCTGTAGATCCTTCTTCAGAAAATATCGTCAAGGCGTGGATCCAGGTTGGTCTGTCTTCCATACCAGGACAGCTAAGGCTCAGAATGGAAAGGTTACAAGTCCACCGTAGAAGTCGTAATCACTGACTTCTTTTGCTCGTGGATATATGCATCCCTATAAAACGTTCCTGTTCGAAATCCTAACAGTTTAGATGCATGCCTGATCTCCAAACATTCCAGAAAGTCGTGATTTCACTTTTCTCGGATCAAGCAAAGGTGAAATCTGAGCAGGTGAACTGTTAAACACTTAAAAGCCATGGTCAATCGGTGACTACTTAACCGTTGACTCACGGTCAGGGAGTCTCCAATCTCTCTGGCTGACAGGGCGATGTCAGGTGGTTCCCCGCCGGGTACACACTGACAACGCCCCTTTGCTTACTCATTTACATTAGTAATGGAGGCATCAGCCTTGAGGCCTTCATCTATCGCGTATCTGGCCACAACCGTACACGAAGATAGAAGTCTGAAGCCATGACAACTGTCGACGCATTTTAAAGCAATGTTGACTGCATGTTGCACCAAACGAGCTATCTAGGCAACATTAAATTATCGGAGACTGAGAGCCTTGCAAGAGGCTCAGGAGTTGTGGTAGAGCACTGGAAAGTTAGTTGTCACTTTAATATGTACCCAATTACCTACTTTTTACTTTGTAAGTAGCATGACGTAACAGTAGTCAACCTACAGCATTGATTAGTTCAAGAAATTAGTGACAAGTAATGCCATTTAGGAGGCATCAAGTATTCAAGTTGCAAAGGTTTATTGTCCTTCAGAATCCTAGTGACGAATGCGTCAGGGACTCTAAATGCCTTCTCACCGGCTGACAAACGGTTTTAGCCCTTCCACCCGTTGAAGGTCAAAAACGCTGGGGGTTGAGGGGCTCCCTTGGGTGGCTCTCAAAAGGACGAATCCACAAACCATAGTCAAGTATTCATTCTTGCATTAGATATGTTGAGGTTTTTGTGGTCACGAATCCTGTGATTCCTAATGGAATGGAAAATTTCTCAACCCCTACAAGTAGCATCACCAAATTCAACCAGTGTCGGTCAATTTCTATGGCGATTCCAAGACTCCTCGTACAAAGACCTCGGAAGAAAACTAATCGCCACAACCTAAATGCTATATAGCCCCCAAAATGACATCACTTGTTATTAAGTTCTGGAATTATTCAACTTTGGGTTTAAAAAATTGTAACCAATCCTCATATCAGAAACGTCCTGCATCTACTCGACCATTTTGAACTCAGCCAGTGTGTTTGGGAGGAGCCAGATAATGCCTAGACGTAAGCTGATGTAGCCACGACTTCGAGAAGGGACGCTCTCGAGCAGCCGGCAGATAACTTCTTCAAAAGTCCCGTCGACTAATAGAAGAGGCGAATCAAAGGTGCATAAATCCACCGAAATAAGATCTTTGCGGATTGTGCAGACCAGTATTCGCCGAAAAAGGAAGGAAAAGATGTGGTAAGGCGAAGAAGTTTACGCAATGCTCCGTGGAGTAGCGAAATTGACGATAATGGTGGCAGTTGTCATTTTGTGTCCTTGTACTGCTACATCATCTACCACGGGATGGACAAAAACCGACAGTCAGGTTGGTGAAGTGAGTAAAGGCGGACCGCCCCATCGACAGGAGGCGAAGTAAGGAGGAATCAACAGATCGCACAGGGGTGAAGATTCGCGTTTCGCTTGAGTACTAGTTCTGAAAATCAAAGTCCGACGCTCGAACTTGCATGACCTTGGTAGTTTTCAGCCCACAGGACTGGAAATCACTCCTATGAGGACACAAAGGGTAGAATCCCCGATTCTGGAACCAATGAATACAGGCGTACCAATGTGACAGGTGTCAATGCCAACAAGACCATACTCTTCCAACTCCACGAACACTATTCTTTTCAGTCGTGAATTTAGAAATCTCTGTTTGGCTTGAACACCCCTTGTAATCTGATCGCGGAATTCAAAAAGTGTACCTTTGACAACTCTTCGACAACCAGAAGGTCTCAAATAGGCAGCACAGCATCAAACAGACTTCTATCACATTCAATCAAAACCAAATGCAAAATGTAGAGGTGTTTGAACTTCCTTTTCATCTAGCAGATTTTGAGTCTTTATGCATCTGTTCGAAAACGTAGTTTTGAAGTATAAAACGCGGTTTTACCCGCACAAAAGTTAAAGCGACTGTCCACGGTTTGCCTCCTGGGGACTATCCAGGCATGAATGGGTGACTTGTCGACGAGGCTCCATTGCAAACAGTCAACCGATCACAAGCACGCGAGTGTCCCCCCCCCCCTCATCCATTCCAGGGCAAAGGAGCCATAGAAACCAAGAGCAAAGTTGCTCTAGGTTTTGTTTTCTGTACTCGCTCCTTACCAACGAACTGTCAATCTTCTCATTCAACTGATTACATCAGTTTAGAAGACATTCCTCATGAAGGCATGGATTAGTCCGCCGTGAAAGTAATCACCATGATTACGTGAAAGCGATTCCGGAGTGATTTACCGTAGAGGTTGTTTTTATACAACATTTAAAGCGTTGAAGGCCAGTTTAAGCCTGGTCAGAGACTTCCAGTTGTAAAAATTCCTGAAGTTGTGCTACGCAGTTAAGCATAGAGATCTGATTTCTCAAACTTGCCTATCAGCATTCTCGAGCGTGACGAAACTCTTGACGAGCCCTGATGGCGCATCCACGACACCCGATCAGAGATCCTTCCTCTAGACCACTTTCGGTGTGTGTGCGTGTGTGTGTGCGTAAGCATGAATATTTGGGTCCAGAGAAGGACAACAGGTTCATCTGTCTGGGGAATTTACTATAGTCTCTAAAAGTGAAAGAACATTGTTGAATAGCTCAGAATCCCACGCGTTCAGATGGAAGTAGATTTGCATTGTTAAGCTATTCCGGTCCCCAGGGAAGTGGTAGTCACCTCTGCATAGTTCAGGGCTGTTTTAGGACAACTTATCGAATCAGATGCTGTAGTGATGAGGAGGTACAACGGAACGTGCGCATGGTGAGCTAGAGGGGCACAAGTTTAGTTGGGTTCACCTGGCTATGCCCCTACCTCGTGTCTGGACTCCCAGTCAACCAGATTCTCTTCAATGACTGCAACATCTCCAACTTTCTGCTTTCTCATCCTAGTAGGTGTAGCATAGTTAATTCTGCGTTCACCCAAAGACGAGTGGGTCCACTAACAAGTCTGTGAATTGTATCGCAATATGATGGCGATCCTGCGGCGTTGCCGAGTTGGCGTGCCCTCTCCCTCTAAACTTTCTTTTGTCCACGTCCCGACTGATTTAAATACCTACGGACCTATTTCAACACGAGAGGATCGCTTCTTTCCAGCCGTCTCCGTCTCTGGGAGCAAGTTGACTTCTCGGATGCGTTGAGACCGACGCCTTTCAGGAATCTGAGGAAATAACAGTTTATTTATGCGTTAATCACGTCATTTTGCAACAGTCAGATTCAGCTATAGAATTGGCCTTAAATGGATATGTGGCTGACGAGTAAGAGATTTGATATTGGCTACGTCGATGACAGGATGAGCGCATACCTTCAGCATGTCCAGAGGGTGAGAGCTAATACTATACGTTATTATGCCCCAGTCCATCCTGTCCTAAACAAACATACAAGGTCACCATGCAAGTGATCAGAGGCTTCACCATCCAAGTGGAAAGTGGGAGGACAAAACGTATCGAAATTTTTCATGAATGATTATTAGGATAACTTGAGCCAATGCTTACCTGTGTTAAAGTTAGTTCTTCGGATCGAAAAAAAAAACAAAACTAAAATTGGCAGGAGTTTCAACTATGGCAGTTCTTGCGTAGAAAGGGAACCTCAACAGCTGCAACTTCTGCTAGCATTGGTGCCTCGGATTGGCGGTCTTCCATCCTCTCCACCATGACCTTAGCTCTCCGTCGGACTCTGTGCGATTCCAGCCTGAACACAGCAATGATTACTACACTGAAAAGTTTCCTGACAAAGTTGACGGTTCATATTTTAAAGGTAAACTCTCATAGAAGTCGCAAACCTGTAAGCCTTTGGACTGAATTAGCCCTCATCCTAACTGGCACACTTAGAACCCAGCTTTATGGAAAGCAAAGGGAGGGGTACTAATGAGGTAAAATCCGATTTTTAAATTATTTTTCTGAGGGATTGTTGCTAGGGTCGTTGAAAGTTTTGGAGGCGGGGAAGGAAGAGGTACTACTCCGACAATCAGACTTTTCTATATCTGCGATTAATATAAGGTAAAATCGCTGAATGAGAAAGTTTTATCGTATAATACTGAGAGGGTTTTAATAAAACAGTAGGGAAATCAGACTTTTATGAGTTTTTGAGGAGCACTTTCTTAACATCCTTTTGCCTTACAAGATAGGGAGTAAACAGAAGATACTACTGAATTCATTTCAGCGAGGACTTTTTGAAAAGCCTCAAAAGTTGGAAATATATGTTTCACTATTCCTCTATCAAAAGCGACGGCTATATTTGATAAACCATACTTGAAAAATACTAACGTTTCGAATCACATGCAGACTGGGTGACCACATCTTATCGCTTTAGAATACAATGTTATACTTCGTTTACTCAACTCTTCGTTTTGGCTTCGCGAGCACTGAAGGGCTCCGACTTTTTACTTGCCCTGGGAGGCTACACCTCCCGGCCATGCCAGTAGCCCCCGATCCAGCCCTTCTGTACGTCAGTAATGCATTTTCTAGCCTGGTATTATGTCTTCTTTTGACTTCAGGGAGGACTCGAAGGTCTGCATTGGTGGCAGCGGAAAGCGAACCCTATCCCGCGGGATAGCTACACCGACTTCTCTTACGAATGCTAAATCATAACGTGATGGTGAAAGTGCATAGGGTGCGGATATGAGAGTCTATGTCAACAAAAGGGTTAGTAATGACGTCTACATTCAGCATCTACCCCAGTGTTATGTTCTGCAGAAATGCTCTTAACAACTAAGGCAACACTTGCCATGAACCATGTAAAAAAATTTACCACGGAGCAATCTACGGTGCCTAAATGAAGATGTCAATTAAATAAACAGGCGATACCTCCTTTTCTCCCTCTCTACTGGTTGGGTAGAGCCCCAGTAGGTAGATGTTGGGGTTGAGTGCTTTTCTCTACAGCACTGACTGCGTTGCGATGGCCGGCGTAGGAGGTTGACCAAGGAGAGTGCCGAGGCTGACACTCAATAGAGCGAGGGGAGGGAGTACGTAATACTTTGGCTATTTGACTAACTCTTCGTTTTAGTTTTGCGGGCACTTAAGACTCCCCTTCCAAACTTCCGCCCAGCTGCGTGGCCTCCGGGCCATGTCGGTAGGCTCCGCAACTCCTCTGTGTGTCCATAATACTCATTCTGCCCAAGTATCGTATCTTCTTTCGTCTTCAGAGAAGTCTTGAGTCGCTACAGAAAATTGTGGCTATTTTCCTCCATGTGTTTGTTTCTATAGCCATCACTACGGTTAAGAAATCTGACTAAATTATTTTTCAATAAATTAACCTACTTTGAAAAGTCTATGTGAATTCCGAAGAGCAGAAAGCGAAGCTGGCTAGGAGTGCTCCGCGCGCTCATGAGCGGAGAGGGAGAGAAGCGAAGTGACCCACAGCTGAAGGAGTTAGTTGCCATCGATCAGTTAATTAAGTGCTTTCTCAATTATAGGTCGAGGTAATTTAATTAGAAAAACTACCGACTTTTGCGCTGTCATTTGCTTGCACCAATCGATTTCAGGTGCGGACCGCAGGGGCACGCAGACAATGTGGGGGAACGACCGAAGTGCATGCCGTTGTCACCGCTTGGGTGACAGGCGGGGAGACTTCACACACCTGCATCAATCCACAGGGAAGGGCGAGCACTGGCATTCCCATAAAACCATAATTAGTTGTAAAATCCTCAAGTTGCACAATCAAGATGTCTCCCTCGAATCAGTCTTTTCAATTTAGCGATTTGGTACCGGAAGTAAGAGCAAAAAACTATCAAAGAATTGCATAATGATACCAAATACTAACAGTTGAAGCTAAGGGCCTAAAATTCCTAAAACACTAATTGGAGTCCTAGAAACTCATCGAAAATTCTCCTGTTTCTAGTTATATTTCTTGAATTTAAATAATAGCATACCTTGAATTGAGGATATCTATGCCTAAAACGCTTTCGCGGTGGCAGAGTTCTTATCTAGTTGTTTTTTTTTAGAATGAAGCTAACAAAACATTAAAAGTACCAGTGTGGCCTAGTCCCTGTCAAGCACCCGATTGGCTAATTCGTAGATAAAGATTCCAAAATTTTATTACTGACGTAATAAGTGGACAAGGGGGCGTACGCACCTAGCGGCCAGAATGCAGATACGGACCGGCATCGAGCAGCAACCGACTTACCATGGCCTTCAAGTGTTCGGTACGAGTCAATTAGGCAGGAGGTGATGAATGAACGAGAGCACGACTGTCTAGAACGCTTGGTGACCAGCCACAGATTCAAACTTTCAAAATTTCGAACAAAGGAGATACCTGAGATTGTAGGTATCCCCAGTAGTAATCGACCCTGACATTTTTTTGATGACTTTTCAAATAATGAAATGATCCAAACGAGGCCAATCCGACCGCTGGATTTTTCAACCAATTAGAACTGCATCTTTAACTCCATTGTGAAGAAACTCGTATTCCAGGTGGCGAAAGCCGCTCACAAACCCATGGGTCCTGGACAGAAAAGCAAGCCATGAAATAAGTTAATAAACCTCTGCCAACTGACTATTTACGTCCCTCTGGAAAGCAATTTGCGTCAATTTAAAAATCATTTGAATTTTTACCCCCTTCAGAGATGCCTTTACTAACGCAGTAAGTGAAAAAAAGGATGCGAACAATGCGTACGCTCCCGGTGAATGGAGGGGTTGGAGACTGCCTGATGGCGAAAGTAACCGACTGACCATGACTTTCAAGCGTTTACCAGTGCACCTACCTAAATTACACCTCCGCTTGATATGAACCACTTAACCGATCAGGAAGTAACAAGTGCGCAAGAACACAACTGTCTAGTTTGATCAGAGATCAGTCAGGAACTGGAACTTTCAAAATTTTGAATGAGACGTTGTCTGGGATCGCAGACATCTCCAGCAGTCATCTACTTTATCATTCCCTTGATGGAATTTAAAATAATGAAAAAAAAAATAAAACCAATCGGAACCCCTGACTTTTGGCACAAGGAGCTCGCAAGCTCATGAGTACTGGGCAAGACAGCAACTCATGAAGCGAACTTATAAACTTTTGCCACCCTACTGTTTATCACCCTTCTGAAGAGAATTTATGATAAATTAAAAGTCCCTTAAATTTTTAGCCACTTCAGAGGATATGCCTTTATTGCTAACGTAATGCGTAAACAAAGGAGGTACGGTCAGTACGTACGCACCTGACGATTAGAGGCCAGAGGCTGTCGGACTTGGAGTAGTAACCGATTGAGCATGGCCTTCAGGATTGCACCCCTGATTTGCATGAGCCAAGCAATCAATCAGGAGGTAGGCTGAGAGAATACGACTATCACAAATGCTCGGAAATCAGCCGTGAGTCGGAAAAGTTAAAATTTTGAAAAGGAACGCTACGCGGGACACGTCTTTAACATTCCTTAAACGACTTAAATAATGAAATTATCAGAATTGAACCACTCGGGGCGTTAACTTTTTCCAGCCAATCAGAAATGAGCCTTCGAATTCCCTAATGATGGAACTCGAGACCCAGATAGGCACCTGACGGAACAATAACTCATGAAATAAGCGGATGAATTTTAATCAATCGAGCGCTAGATTCCTCTTTTGAGCAAATTTACACTTATTTAAGAATCCACCACATTTCAAGGCATTTCTGTTCCGTCCTGAAATCTGCAAATGAACAGTGTGTTAACTAAACAATTCTTCACCACTTTTTTTAAATTCTTCCGTGTCAACAATTTTTTATCAAAATATCATGGACCACCGGAGAGGTTCACATCAAAGTTAACCAAGGAGTACAAAACGGAGCCCTCGTTTCCCAAGCAGCAACCAACTCCCACCACGGTATCCACATCAGCATTCATCATTTGCAGGGCCACAACCAAATTCCATAGACTGATTGCTGGATAGTGAAGAGGAAGCCTATTTGTTTACGACTTCCTCGGATTGACCCGATTGTGTACCCTACTCACAGATCGACCTTGAGGTCGAGCAGCGCACCATGGTTTATCTACACGTCAAATGATGCTTGACACCTCTTCGGTGAGCGCGAGGCAATATTTCACCCCTCAGAGTAGTTACCATCCTTGGTGTAGAGCTTACCAATATTTATCTAGCAGCCAAACCCTTTTTTTTCTGTCCCCAACTGCGACCTTCCGAAGATGTCCGAGTGTAGGCAGGGTCAAGACAAGTTACAGACCCATTGTAGGTGTTCATCACTATCCACTTCTGCGCTTTTACACATCGACACGTTTCCGAAGCCTGCAACTATTTTTTCCAACACAGTCATTCACCTTGGAAGAACTGACTACGTTTTAGTTTTTGACGTTGCGGCGGCGTCAACGGTTTTCACCTCTACGAGGCTCTTTGTGACCTTGAAAGTGGTGATACGTTTGAGGCCTCGACAGAAGAGCTTGCAGTCCTGACGCATGCTGTGACTGTCACGATGAAACCGACGGTGATGACAGCCCACGATGTCCACTCCTCCGACATTCGCCAATCCGATTCGCATTTACCCGCATTCAGCAATCGCACTTCGCCGCCCCCCTCCATATCCACGATGCACCTTCAATGACCACTTTAAAGGTTAAGACAGCGGTGGTAAAGATAGCAACGAACAGCTGTTGACGTCACTCCAAACCCGACCGGGACTCAGCTGAAGTCGATAAAAATTAAGCAATCGAGTCGGTTGTTTTCCAGCAGTACTGAAACAACACCTCGCAATGCCGAAAAATTTAGCCCACGATCAAATAGCAGCTTCTCCAGGAAAAAGAGACTCAAAAAATACCGCAAATTTAGCGATATACATTACTAAAAAACCTACTCAGGCTGTGTTCGCAAGTGGCCAGTCGAAACACTTGGTGAGCCTTGCACTGTTCTTCGGCATTCACTATTCCATTGTAGATTTGGCGCACCATAAATCGTGCAAAGGGACAGATGGGGATGATGAAGTAAGAGCAAACGAGGACCTAACGTTTCACATTGATTATCTAGATGCTTAAAAACAATGCATGGAGGCAATGGAAGCATGCGAATTAGTAGGGGCATTAATTTGTGGGAATGAGAGGAGGTGATATAAATTACAACGATAACATCAACAGATGGGAAGAAGGATAGAGATGAAAAAAAAAGGACGAGTTAAAGGGCGATATTTGGGCGGGTGGAGGTGGAGGGGGGGGTAGGCGAGTTCCATACTGCACTGCTGCCCCGAGGACGCGTACGAAACTTGTAGCCGTGGAAGAGCTCCGCGTCCTCGAAATGCACCTTATCCGCGGGTCGAAATATTTCCTGCCAGCGCACCTCGCCTCGGTACACGCGCGACACCAAGGAGAACAACTCCTTGCTGCCTGCAACACAGCACACCTCGTCAATAGTCAAGCCCAAAATTGAGTGATTTTACTCATGGGGACTGCGCAACTAGTGCAATTATACCACACCCGAACCAATGCAACCCTTCCACCCACTCATACACCCAACTCCTGAAGTTACAAAACCCACCCGCACTGCCTCTACAACAAACACCGGATATGATACAAAAAAGCAATGTCACAAATACTGACCATTTTTGGCCCACGAGGGAATGTATCTCTTCTTGTGCCGTTTTTCATTGTCCGACTCAGNGTCGTGGTCAGAGAGGAGACCAGTTAGGTCGTAAGAGAGAGGAGACCTTCGGGAGGAGGGAGGACACGAGTCATGCCAATGCATAAAAAAATGTAGGGAGAAGAAAAAG